TTTCCAGACTGCACTCGTAGAGGAAGCAGAGGTTATGGTGGAGACATAATCTCGCCAGCTAGTGTGTTTAGCGTCACGGATGACACGGCGAGCGATCGCACGCTTCTGCTTAAAATCAAGAAGTCTCTCCGTGGTTCTATTGTACCGGTACCTGCCCCATGCAGCGCGTTTCAAACGTACTGCACGAGCACAAGCAGGAGACCACCAAGGCACTCATTTCTGAGAATGCCTGCCCGAAGTTTGAGGTATACAATTAGAAGCGACGGTTAAAACGGAGGACGAGAAGAGGTGTAAAAGCTCATCAACGGAGGACGAAGAAGGAACCTCTCTAAAAACAGATATGTGTGAGTAAAGGTTCCAATTTGCCTGATCAAATTGCCAGCGTGGGATGCGAAGTGGTGGTGAATATGAAGGGGAAGTAAGAATGATTGGGAAATGATTGCTGTCATGTAAGTCCGGGAGAACAGACCAAGTGAAGTCTAATGCGGCGGAGGAAGAGCAGACTGAGAGATCGATGCAAGAGAGAGTGTGAGTCCGAGGATCAAAATGGGTGTGAGTACCTGTATTTAAAACATGGAGGGGGTGGGTGGCAAGAAAAGCCTCTAACTGAATGCCACGGGAATCACAGTGAGACCTCCCCCAAAGGAAATGATGGGCATTAAAATCGCCAAGTAACAGAATCGGTGGCGGTAATGACGAAACAAGAAAGGCAATATCCGGAATAGATAATGCCCGAAAAGGAGAGAGATATAAAGAGCAGAGCATATACCACCTATGCAAGTGGATACGGGCTGCTGTGTAATGCAGTGAAGTACGAACAAATAGCTGATGGTATGGAATATCATTGCGTTGAAGAAGGGCACTTTCATTAAAGGTCCCATCAGGAAAAGGATCTGACGAATACAATAAATTATAGCCTGAGATGGGAGAGATAACAGCAGAGTGTAATTTTGGTTCCTGTAAGCAAACACCAACAGGGGAAAACTGGGAGAGTAACATCTGAAGCTCACCCCGATTACCCCTGAGGCCACGTATATTCCACTGTAAATAGGCCATGATTGGCAATGATAAAGATACTTGAAATCCGCAGGTAAGGGTTTCTACGGACTAGAGGGGTTAGAAAAGTCCACATGCGGAGGCAGCGGAAAACGTTCAAGCAGCGAAGGAACGGTGCGCTGTGAAGAAAGGAGTTGCGCAGATGGAGGAGAGGAGAGAGAAGGAACAGAGGGTGGATCAGTGTCCATTGATGGTTTGGTCTCTGCAATATATTCGGAGATTGCTTCAAGTGTTTCGGAATTCAGAGACGTCGTATGGGAGACAATATTGGAACGGTAATGGACTGTACCAAGGTAGGGGGGGGGGCGAAAGGGTGGAGGGAACTGGAGAAGAAGCGTGGAAGGGGGCAGAAGAGGCAGAAACCTGGGAGGTGGCAGAAGAGGAAGAAACCTGGGAGGGAACAGGGGAGGTAGGTACAGTACGAGGAGGAGGGTGAACCTCTACACTTGTAACAGAGCCAGTGAGAGGGGAAGAACCCAGTACAGAGACAGGGAAGGTAAAATGAGGAGGTGGAAGTAAGGAAGGAGGGGTTAAAGGACCTTTTTTTGACTTCTGAGAAGTAGAGGGACGATTGGGAGGAGGTGTTGTACGAGGTCTTGTCGATACTGAGGTTTGTGAGGGAGAACACGAAGAAGCGTGAACAGACTGAGGCATTGAAGTAGGGATGTCTGAGCCGAGGACAGCAAAAGAATTAGATACAGGAGTGACTATGGGAGAGGTAACCACAGAGGAGGCTGCAGAAGTGGGGGGACGTTTTGAAACACGGGAATAAGAAACACGAGGTAGTCTCCCTCGGAGGCGGAGGTGAGAAACTGCCATGGCATAAGGGAGACCTTCTGCCTCTTTGAGGTAACGGATTTCCCGCTCATTTAAGTAGACTTGGCAACGGCGAGAGTACGAAGGGTAAGCCTCATGACAATTAAGGCAAGAGGGAGGTTGATTGCAAGACGTATTAGAATGGTCATCGGCACCACAGACTGGGCATTCGGCTATGGATCTGCAATATTTAGCTGGATGGCCAAATCGCCAGCAATTTCTACACTGCTGCGGTGTAGGGATCACCTTTCGAACTTGTAACCGATATCCTGCCACATAAACTGAGGATGGGAGTTCACGGCTGTCAAAAGTTAAACGAGCCACATTGCTAGGGTATCGTCTCCGCCCGCGGGGAGGAAGAACAGAAGTGTCTACCTTGAGGACTGGGAGATCTTGGAGTTCCAGCTGTTCAAGAATGTCATTGCCACATGTCTGGAAATTTTGTTGAACTATGGTATGAGGCAGATTGACGGTACCACTACAAGAATTGAGGGAATGATGTTTTTCAATAGTGACAGGAACAGTATCTATATGGGAAAGAAGAGAAAGATCATGAGCTTGGGTAGCATTCTGTACAGTGATGATGCGTGTACCACTCTTAAGAGCATGAAAAGAAATATCTTTACCAACATGGCATAGGAGTGCTTTGCCAATACTGTGGTCGGAAAGATAGGCGGTAGAGGAAGTCGATCGTAAAGTGAAGAATTTAGTCCATTGTGTAGTCTGAAACTGAGCGTGGAAAGGGAGTGCAGGATGTGTTGATCTTTTCTGAGAAAAACGAGAAGATGGAGAAGTATCATCAGCAGGTAACTGTCATTGGCGTTTAGGCGTGGGACCAGAATTGGTCCGACGCCGAACGGGCCGACGATTCAAAAATTGCCGCACTGTAGAGGGAGAGGCCGGAAGCATAGTCAAAGGAGAGCGGAGGTCAGTTAAATCAAAGGAGTCAGTCGAGACCTCAGTACCTGAAGCGGGTGAGGAAACAGCACCGGAAAGAGGTACAGAGGCATGAGGAGTGTCCGAAGAGTGGTCCAAAGACGAGGCGGGGTCAGAACGGGGTGCAGTCTCAAGAAGGGGCCCGGGGGAATCAGGTTCATGGACTAGGGCTGCCATGGTTAGGTTACTTCTTTCTTTCTGTTTTTAAAAAGAAAAAAGAATAAAAAAAGGGGGGACTGGGGAGGGATAGTTCCTAGGAGGAATGAAAGGGCCAGAAATCTCCCTCCACGCCCAAGAGGACCTCAGCACAGCAAGTAGTGTAGATGCAGCATGGAACCCGTGCCATACCCTACCCATCGTGCCAGTAAACTAGCAATCCGGGATAGCAACCTCACATCTGCCGAGCTACCTTGGTGGACAAAAGAGAGGGCGGCCAGATATCCGCCACAAAGCATACCTCCTTCAGCCACCACCCTCGGAATCCGAAAGGTGGCTTCCAGAGATACACCCGTCGCCCGAAAGACACCCAAAGCCACTCTCCGGGATACCGGAGAGGGATCGGGACATCCCCAGGCGATCCAGATTCCACGGCAAACTACGCCACCGCCAAGAACCTCAACGGAATGGGATGGACCCTGGTACCCTTTCCCCTACCTGGGAACTAGCGCGCCTGTGGGAAGAATCCCAAAGGCCAAAAAGAGGAAGGGCAAGAGGGAGGGGTGGGGAGGGGGAGGAGGAAAGGGAAAAGGGGAGGATGGGATAGGGAAGGGGGGATTGGGGGTAATTAGGTTCAGTCTGAGGAAGGAGACCGACAGGTCTAATTCCTCAGACCAAAAGCCTCTTCACCACGCCAAGGAGCCCCCCTTGAAGAGGATGAATTACGAAGAGTGGAAATTTCTTCTCTCTCAAACTCTCTACTCCTGGGAAATCTCCTGTTCTTTGCATTCTCTATATTTCCAGTCTTTTTTTATCTCAACTCTCTCCATTCATTAGACATCAAACTTACTTTTTGCAGACTAATACCCTTCACACTAATCTAGTTTGTACCTCTTCTCCCACTATAGATGCCCCTTGTGTCTACTCTATTTCGTGTTCCTCTTGTCCTCTTCAGTACTTTGGAGAAACTGGCCATTCTCTTTCTGACAAACTCACTGAGCACAAAAGAAGTACTAGGCTTGCCGACACCAACAATGCTCTCTTTTGTCATGTTAGAGATCACAGTCATCCTATTGATTGGTTTTCTGCTAAAACTGTCTACCCCACTTCTAACTTTGACAGTTGCCATCTCGTTGAATCCTCTCTTATACACAACTTTCCTTGTATGAACCTTAGTCTTGGTTTTGTCTCTGTAGATGCCTTCCTTTCCCATTACAATGTCAAATGCTTCAAATTTCAGAACACACATGATTTAAACTGATTCTTTTTATCTTCTCTTTTCCTGGGTTTCCTTTCTTCTGTCTTGGGTGTCTTCCCCACCCCCCTTTCCCTACTCCTTGTAGGCTCTTTGCTCTCCTACAGTGCTCCTCTTTCATGGCCTTTTAATGACTCCACTGCTGCTACTACTACTACCCTGCTACCTTTGGCTCCTGCCTTCACTTTGCCTCCTTTTTCTTCCCCCCTTCTCTATTTCTTGTCCCACTAACTATTCTCCCTAGTTTCCACTACAAACCTTACCTCTATCACTACTACTACTCCCATCTCTCTTGTCCTGTCCCCACCAGCTTGCCAATACAGTGGAACCTCAAAAATCGAACTGCTCCCAACACGACCAATTATGTAATTGTATTTTTGTAAGTGCTTTTATAAGTGTATTTTTGAGGGTCTGAAATGGACTAATCTAATTTACATTATTCCTGATGGGAATAAATTCATTCTGTAAAGGCACTCGAACAGCCTTCTGGACCGAAGAAAGTTCGATATTTGAGGTTCCACTGTATGTACTGGCTTCTCTCCTTTGTTAGTATGATTCTGTAAATGGTCCAATTCAGACCCATTGATCCTGACACAGACAATTTTGAAATGCCAGATACTGAAGTTGGGAGATCCTTGTCAGTCAGATTAAAAGTCTGTTACAGTAAGTGTTTATGCACCTAGAGAAGAAAGAAGTGTAGAGGAGACAGATTTTCAAAGATGTCGAGTGATTGGGGGGGGGGGAGTTTTGAACCAAGTGAGATAGTACTTGTGGTGGGGGATCTGAATGCTAAAGTGGGTAAAACTGGTGTGGAGGGAATAGTAAGTTTGGGGTGCCAGGGCAAAATGAAAATGGGGAGCTTTTAACACGTTAACTGTCCAAACGTAGATCTATGTTCTCTTGCCCCGCGTTCCAAATATTTTGGAAAAAAACAAAAATTAAATTAAGGAGGGTAATTTTTTGTGTGTAATAAGACCAAAAAAATTTTTTTTAGGGTCAGTACTTACTGAGATATAAGACTGCGAAGTTAGCGCTGGATGCTAACCTGACGGCAACATGGAGTCCTGCCACTTGCAGAAGTGTTGCTGATATACCTTTTTTCGTTTTTTCTTTTTTAATTTATATAATTTTTAGTGAAGGGATTCAGGGAAACTGGTTTTTATATAGCCGGACTTGAGTACTGGAAATGGGAAGTACAGTGCCTGCACTTTAAAGGAGGAGTTTGGGATATTGGCAGTTTGGAGGGATATGTTATATATCTTTATACAGATACCATCCGACTTACGACCGAGCTTGGTTCCAACCAACTGGTCGTAAGTCAAAATGGATGCAAGTCGAACCTTACTACTGAATATCAACATCACATTTTTGCAATGCTTTATTTTATTGTTTTATTCTGGTATTTCATTTTTTACATTACTTTTTATGCTGTTAGTACTGTATTTTATACTGTAAGGTTTAGGGTAAACACTGTGTACAATACAAACAGTTGTTTATTTCTCAGAAATTTGGCATATAAAACACGGTTGTAAGTCGAGTGGTCGGATGGTAGGTGTATATACTTCTAAATTGTTGTATCTGGGCACCTCTGCAAAAACAGTGATTATGTATGAGTGAGGTGAAAGTGTTGAATGATGATGAAAGTATTTTTTTGGGGGGGATTTTCTTTGTTTTTGGGTCACCCTGCCTCGGTGGGAGACGGCCGACCTGTTGGAAAAAAAAAAATTACAATTTGTAGTAGTTGTGATTTCATAGCCAATGTTTGTTCTGACACTAACATTAGATACTCAAAGTGGAACCTTGTTTTTTGGCTGTAATCCGTTCCAGAAGGTCGGCCTAAATTCGAAATGGCCCAAATTCGAAGCAATATTTCCCATAAGAATTAATGTAAATACAATTAATCTATTCCAGACAAAAATATTCACAAAAAATTTATTTTATAAAGATTAATTATAGTTTTACATACACAAAACAATGAGAACTAAATAAAATAAATTAAGAACATTTAAATTACTATTACATACCTTTACTGAAGACTTTTGTTGGCTTATGGAAGACAGGGAGGAGGAGAGGGGGAAAGCGGATTGTTTGGGAGGGGAATCCCCCTCCATAAGGACTTTAGGTAACAAGTCCCTCTCTGGGGTTACTTCCTTTCTTCTTTTAATGCCACTAGGACCAGCTCGAGAGTCACTGGACCCCTGTCGCACAAAATAACTGTCCAGAGCACTCTGTTTCTGGCGTCTCTAAGATTTCCCTAAAATAGGACAAGGTTTTGTCACTGAACATGTTGCAGATATGGCTTGTTTCAGCTTGGTTAGGGTGATATTTCTCCACAAAAGTTTGCACCTCATTCCACTTTGCACAAATGTCCTTAATCACTGAAGAAGGCACATCCTTCCCTCTCTCTTCCTCCTCCTTCTCTGAAGCAAGTTCCACAGCTGTGGTCTGTTGCTGTTCCAGTTGAAGGTGTTGCAGCTCTTCAGTGGTTAGCTCTTCCCTGTGGTCCTCCACCAACTCTTCCACATCCTCACCACTCACATCCAACCCCATGGACTTCCCCAATGTCATAACAGGCAGAGGGTTGACAGGGTCAGGGTCAGCCTCAAACCTATCAAAATCTTTCTTGTCACCAGTGTCGAGGTTGGGAGACTATTCTCTCCCGTCTTCGCATTGGCCATACTTGTCTTACTCATGGATATCTCATGGAGAGGCACCCTGCTCCTCTCTTTGAGAATTGTCAGGCTCCATTATCAGTCAGCCACATTCTGTTGGACTGCCCACTTTATCAACGAGCACGCAGAATTTACCTCCATCGTCGTCTTCACTCCGCTGCTCTCTCTTTACCTTCCCTTCTCGCTGATGGACCCACCTTTCATCCGGACTCTCTCATTGACTTTTTGAAAACAACTGACTTACTTCACAAACTCTGATGCCTTCAGCCCTTTCTGCCTCAATCTCCTGCTACCCTCTACCCCCGCACTATCCCCTGTCCCGCTGTTTTCTGTACCCTACTGATCATCCCTCCCCCCTTCTGCTGCCCAATACCCTCGCTTCCTTCCCTACCTTGCAGCGCTGTATAGCCCTTGTGGCTTAGCGCTTCTTTTTGATTATAATAATAATAATCAAAATCTTTCTCAAGGACACAGTCTGCCCACAATTGTCTCCAAGAAGAGTTCAAAGTTCTGGAAGTCACTCCCTGCCAAGCCTTACCTATAAGGCTTATGCAGTTGTAGATATTGAAGTGATTCCTCCAGAACTCTCTTGGGGTTAATTCAGTGTCCAAGGTCACTTCAAAGCACTTCTGAAACATTGCTTTTGTGTAGAGTTTTTTGAAGCTAGAAATGACTTGCTGGTCCATGGGCTAGATAAGAAGAGTGGTGTTAGGAGGCAAGAACTTCACTGTTATAAAATGAAAATCCCTAGACAATTGGTCTACCAAGTTTGGAGGATGACCAGGAGCATTGTCCATTACCAGGAGGCAAGGTTGAGTAGCAATTTATTTTCCAGGAGGTATTTTTTCACACTCGGGCCAAACATTTCATGGACCCAATCAATGAAAATTTGCCTTGTGACCCATGCCTTATGATTAGCTTTCCACAACACACCAATTTACTCTTGACGGCATTGTTTTTCTTGAACACTCTGGGCTTTCAGAGTGATACACGAGTAAAGGCTTCACTTTGAAATCCCCACTAGCATCAGCACAAAACAAAAGTTAGCCTGTCTTTCGTAGGCTTGTATCATGGCAGTGCCTTTTCCTCGTCTTTGGCATTTTCTTCCAAAAGAGGCCTGTTTCATCACAATTGAACATGTTGGGGTTGGATTTCTTCAGCCTCTACGTACCCCTTGAATTCCTGCACAAATTTTTCAGCCACACGTCTGTCTGAACTTGCAGCCTCACCATGCCTTACAACACTCTGTATGCCACTACGCTTCTTAAATCTCGCAAACCAGCCTCTGCTGGCCTTAAATTCACTAACATCATCACTAGTACCAGGCATTTTCTTTACGAGATCCTCATGCAACTGCCTTGCCTCTTCACAAATGATCGTCTCTGAAACACTATCACCCACTGTTTTTCCCTGAGCCACAACAACAACAACAACTTCTCCACATCATCATTTGTTTGTGATCTCTTTTTCGTTAACATGTTTACCCCTTTTGCCACATCATCTTCCTTGATTTGTTCTTTCTTTGCCAGGATAGAAGTGATTGTTGATTTGTTTTTGCCATACATCCTGGCAAGTTCCAGCACCCACACACCACTTTCGTATTTTTCTATTACTTCCTTCTTAAATTCCATTGTGTTTCTCACTTTCTTTACCAAAGGAACTTTACTAGGAACTTTCTTGGGGCCCATGGTGACTTATTTCACAGTCACACCTAATAAAAAAACACCAAAAACAATGGATTTTAAGGAAATGTTTGGATGAATGCACAGAGTATATGCTCACTCACCAACAAAGGGAGACCGACTCACCTACGCACGACATCCTGGTGGGAGGCAGGCTGACGCGTCTAATACAGCCGATATATGAAGCAACAGCCAAAATATGGAGTAAAATTTCCGCCGAAAAACTGGCCTAAATACGAATTGGCCGATAAACGCAGCGGCCAAAAAATGAGGTTCCACTGTAGTACTCAATAACAAACATACTGACAGGTGAACATTTTCACCTGCCTTGGTCACCTACTATTGTCTAGAAATACACCTACCATCTGACTTACGACCTGCTCGACATACGACCACTCGACTTACGACTGTGTTTTTTATGCCAAATTTCTGGGAAATAAACAACTGTTTGCGTTGTACACAATGTTTATCCTAAACCTTACAGTATAAAATACAGTACTAACAGCATAAAAGGTAAAGTAAAAAATGAAATACCAAAATAAAACAATAAAATAGTCATTACAAAAATGTGATGTTGATATTCAGTAGTACAGTTTGACTTACGGCCGGTTGGTCAGAACCAAGCTCGGTCGTAAGTCGGATGGTAGGTGTATATACAAAGTCTTTCTAGGTCCCAGCAATGTTTTAGACATGCTGGAGTACATATGAAATTCCTTGAAGCACTGTTTAAGATGAGCGTCACTTCATTGCTGACAGTGCAGCAGAGGAGTGACACTTGATCATGCACTGCCTTGGCTTTGTTTGTTTTCACTGTTACATATAAACATGTTTATCTGTCTGTCTGTCTTTATTTGTCTGTCTAGCTCTGCTTATCTGTCTGCTTGTCTCTCTTTCTGTCTCAGAAAGCCACTCATGAACTAACAGGTATTACACACGATGCAGAGTCACGTCTGATTCCTGAACAAGTGAAAGTGCGTATTACTTGCCAGTCATGCTTATTATGCCTTGTATCTACAAGCACAGTATAGCACTTTGTCTGGATTTTTTGGGTTATCCTAGGTAATTTACACTATGTATAATAACTATGTGTACCTGTGAGACAGAGACAGGCAAAGATAGATACAGACAGATGGAGATAGAGACAGCGAAAGTCAATCAGCCACCCAGCCAGCCTGCCAAACACGTACTATTACACATGTTCCAGAATTGTTTGGAGCGCTAGCAGTAAGAATGTAGATCTATGTTTGGAGAGTTAAGGCGTTAACTGAACTATGTAATAGAAAGAGGTTTGGTAATAAGTAATACATTAAAAAAAAAAGAAGATAACTAAGTGTACAAGATATGATATTGCACATAATGAAAGTAGTTTGTTTGATTGTGTACTGGTGGATTAATGGTTGATGGGTAAGAGAGTTGAAAGTTTATAAACTAAGGGAGGAGGAAGTTAGGGTGAGATATAAGCAACTATTGGGAGAAAGGTGGGCAAATGCGAGAATAGGTAATGTGGTGGGGGGTTGGGTGGGGGGGTTGAAGAGGGGTGGGATAGTTTTAAAAATGCAGTGTTAGAATGCAGAGCAGAAATTTCTGGCTATAGAAAGGTGGGTGAAGGAGGAAAGAGAAGTGATTGGTGGAATGAGGTAAAGGGTGTAATAAAACAGAAAAAGATCACGTATAAGAGATTTTTACAAAGCAAAAGTGATATAAGAAGGGTGGAGTATACAGAGAGTAAAAGAGAGCAAATAATAGAGTGGGTGAGGGGCTGTCAACAAACTGCTGAAAATAAGAAATTTTTTTGAAGTGAAATAGGTTAAGAAAGCCTAGGAAATAAATGGATTTGACAGTTTACCCTTTCAGGGTCCAGACCCCTGATCTGAAAGTTGTCCACAGGGACCAAGAATTTTCAAAATTTATTTTTTATTTTTTCTTATGAAATGGTAGAGAATCTTTTTCCGAAGGTAATAAAATAAAAAGCACAAAATTTGATTAAAATTGATGAAATTGTGCTCTCGTGAATTTTGCTGCGTCTGATATTTATGCATCAGCGATTTTGCCTAATTTGACTCCCAATTTAGGCCAATTACATTATTCCAGTGGACCAAATTCTTCGTTATTTTGTTAGTATATTACTTATATTTTGTTGACTGAGCACAAGAACTATTTCAACTGCCCAATAAAGTGATCAGAAATTGGTAATTTGGCCAATGTCACACAGTCCAAAATATTTCAATTTCAAA